AAGAAAAGAAAAGAAAAGAAAAGAAAAGAAAAGAAAAGAAAAGAAAAGAAAGGAGGAAAGAAAGAAAGAAAGAAAGAAAGAAAGAAAGAAAGAAAGAAAGAAAGAGAAAGAAAGAAAGAAAAGGAAGAAAAAGAAATTCTAGATTCAGGGCTCAGCAACTTTTAAAATGAGGAACCCTGAGGTGTTGGGGGAAGGGGAAGGGGGCGGGGGAGGATATCCCTAGTGACTGATGGTTCTAGGCTGGAATGGTGGTGCAAGGGGTGGGGGTGGGGGGTAACAGACTTGTCAAACAGGAAAGGCTGAACTTGCAGCCCTGGCAGTTAAGTCTTGCTGCTGTGGGCATCTGCACAGGAAGGGAGGGAGGCACAGTGGCAGCAACTGGGCTACAGAGCAAAGCCAATGGCTGTGTGTTCCCTCTGGTCCATGTGCCCTAAGATTGCTGAGCCCTGGTTTACAATTTAACTAGCCCTGGAAGTTATTTTTTGAAATCGGAATGATTAACCAGGCATGGCGCTCAATCCCAAAGACAGGACTCAGGACTGAGGAGAGGGAGGGGAAAAGAATGGAGGAAAACAAGGGGTACCAGCTGCACATGGGGACAACAACAGAAAATGAAACCGGTATCGGAATGATGGTGGTAGCTCTGTGATTCCACCGGGTGTCCCTACAGTGTGATGTTTTTCTACTGCAGTAAAGGTGGTAGAAAATTGAGACAGGCACCTTTTCAATTGGATACAAGCACCTTTGGTGTCACCAGGCCTTGTCCACACCCCTGGGTCTTAGGATGGTTCTGTATTTTATTTAGAATTCTAAGGAACCCCAAGGGAGTCACAGCTGCCTATCCTATTCCAATGCCTCAAATGGATTTTTAAGTACCCCAAGCCTTAATTCATGCTCACAGGGACAACAACTGGCCTGTTATATGTACTTAACACTGGAAGGAGGCATGAGTGCCCAGTTATTTTAGTACTGGTGGTCTTTACGAAGGAATGCATGAGAATGCAGATACAGCTCAGGATCTTCCCTGGTTTATCAGTATGCAGTCCAGATTTGGTTCCCTTTACTATTCTTACATATTCCAGAAGCCTAAAGCACCATCACTCATGGAGGTGGCATCTGGGTAAGAGAATTAGTTGGGACCTCACAAAAAAACATGAAATTCCTAGTCATTGACTTGGCTTAGAACTTTACTAATCATTCATTTCAAGGAAGCTGGAGAAATCATTCCTTGTTACTAACGAATTCATGGCAAAGTCCTTGTCTACTGGACTAACAAATACCATCTGGAAAATCACCCTTTTGGCAGACAAGGAGAAAGTTCCATAACTTATCTTTGTGCACTTCAAAAGAGTACCAGGAACAAGCAAGCTATAAAAGTCAACCTCTCTAAATTTGTTTAGAGGAGGTTAACCAAAGCAGCATTGTCTTATAATCAGATATTAACATACACATACACACACACAAACTAATAATGCTAAATATTGTAACAGGAACAAGAAAACATTTGAACTGAATTTTCACAGTCTGGAAAACAGCATTACTATTTTCCTTCTGGCTTTCTTTTCTGTGTTCGGAAAAGCAAAGCCCCTTAGTTTATACTTCATCTTCCACCAATGACAGAGTCCAAAAAAGTGACTTTGTCATGAGCTTTCTGCAGGCTTTAGGTCAGGATGGTTGGAATTTTTCTTGCATAGTTTTCAGTGATTGCATATTGGCTAACAATTATGTTTTAAATTAAAAAAAAATTTTTAAAGAATTAAACCCTAGCAATCTTGTTTATTCTCTCATGAACTCTTCCTAATGCGATATCACAGAAGCCTAACTGTATTTTCTCCTAAAGAGAAGATTAAATTCCAGAGATTATGTAGTGCAACTGGTTAACTTATAGGAAAGAGACAACACACTAATATAACTTCACCATCCAAATATGGGAAATGTGTTTTGGGTACCCAGTTAATAAAATACATCCATGGTCTGCAATGTCCTTCCTGTTTTATATCCAGCACAACCCTGTGATTCTAGTTGAAGAGAATGGAGTCAGGATCTTGGTTCGCCATCTGTGCTATATGCTTTAGCACATCCTTTTTGGTAATGATTCCAAGCAATCGCCTAAAAGAAAACAAGGCAACAAAACAAAAACAAATCGGTAGTTAACATTCTCAATGGTGATGCTTTTCCTCCTCAGGCCTTTTCAACTTTGTCTTCAAACACTAACTGCACCTTACAGTGTTATGTGTGCCCAGCAAATGGGACGGCACATGGGTCCCTAAACAGGCTGCAGGCATTTCTACTTCACGTCTCACATCTTGCTATTTCCTCTGCTTTAAATATTCCCTACGTATCTGAACCTTATCTCCTGCCACTCAGTTCAAATGCTGCTCTTCCAGAACACCCTCTCTGATCCTACAGGCCAGCAATGACCGTGACCCCCTTGCAGCAACGGCATGATCTACACACTTGTCTTGTTTGCTGTTGTGGAATGCATGCTCCTGTATTCTTAGGTTCCCTATGACACTGTGCACTCCTTGAGGGCAGAGAAGGGCCTTATTCACTTTTGTGTCTCCATGGAGTCTAGTGGAATACCTTCTTGCGTGAAGTAGGGGATTCAGTAAATGTTGAATGAATCAGTTAGGGAAAGTCCCGTTGCTGATTTCAATCCTGCAAGACATCTGTTATAACATTTAGAAATTTTAGAGAGTGAAATTCTCATATAATTGCTGGATTGGCATACCATGTTTAGAAAAAAATCCACCCTTCTACTCAACCTCCCTTCTTTTCCAATAAAAATAGCAGGGCTTCCTTTACTGCATAAGAAATATCCCTGAAAGAAAGAGCCTTGGCCTTGGGAGTCAGAAGACTTGTGTTTAAAGCCTCTCCCTACTATATATTGATTGTGGGCTCTTGTGTAAATCTTTAAACCTCACTGAAACTTGGCTTTATCATCCTCCAATGATAACAACACAGGTATCATAAGGACCAAATACTATACGAATAATACCTAATATCATTATAATTTTGGTGCTGTCTCTTCACAAGAACACAGCCGTTTCCTTTGTGGGGGAGGGGCCGTGTTATTTATAATGTGCAGCCAGCAGTTCACATTTCCCAATCACACTTTCTTCCCCAAACTCCTTTTCCATTAATCATGATGATAAAAGAAACACATCTGTCTTCATCTCAGAGCTTCAAAAGGCCCTATACATGCTACTAATGTTCAGATGAATTGGGTTCTTCTTTATCTCTCTACACTCTTTCCTCCCACGATCCAATTTGCCTTCACCAAAGAGCTCTCACCCATTGTGCGTAACCAGGCACTGCCGCAGCCCCAGCTTGCGGAAGATATCCACTACAATCTCCATGGGTGTAAGGTCAGTCACAGTGAAGGGGCTGAGATCCAGGATGTTCCGAAGCTTTAGGGTGGGTGGTGTGTATGGTGGCATCGGAGGAGAATGCTCAGTGAAATAAATGATGGAAGTGCTCACAACTCCATCCTGTTTTTTGCGAGCATTTTCTATTTGAGAAGTAGGAAAAAAAAGTTGAAAATAGAAGTGCCAGTTCTATCATTCTGGCCCCTCATTGGTCCTGTCCTCCCTGTGTCGTCCCCCATTTTGCACATATTTATTTTATTTCCATAGTGGATTCCATCATCCCCTTTCTGAAATCCTTACCGATTGAAATGATGAGATCTCTTCGGAGAACGAAACCCACAAGTCTTTGGGATTCCCGGGACACCACCACTGGGAAGCCACTATAAGTGGTTTCACTGATGATAGTCTCTACATCTTCCACGGTCATGCTGTCCTGAGTAAGGACAGTCAATAAAGGATCATTTCTACGGGGTTTCATCACATCCATTGCCAGAGTCTTATGAGCAAACTCTTCTTTGGCTTCAAGAAAGGGGTAACCATTGAGACGAATGTGGGCATCATAGATGCCCTCCCGCCCCAGAGCATCTGCCACCCACTTGCTTGTCATGGCTGCAGCCATCAGAGGCACAATGTACTCCAAGCCACCAGTTAGTTCAAACATTATGACAACGAGAGAAACAGTCATCCGAGTCACCCCACCTACAAGGAAACAGATACAGGCTACTAAAAACAGAAGTCCAGATTCATTACAATTAAGGGCCTGTGACAGGAGCCCATCCAGGAAAAGCCCATGTACCAGAAGCATTGCTAAAAGGAGGTCTCACCTATAACTGCACAGACCCCAGCGGCTGGGTTAAAGTAAGTCTATAATGGATGTGAGTCAGATTTCTCAAAATAATATCTATAAAAGCACCAGATGCCATCTGGATTTTTCTTCTTTTGTTTCTTATTTGTGTGCTGCTTTCTCCCCACTAATTAGAAAAGTAATTGCAAAAGATATCCACAATTGGTATAATACTGCTAGGACTATAGGTTCTCTGGAATGTACAGGCCATTGTGGGAAATTCAAACATTGTTTTTAAGTATATAAAAGAAAGTCATTATCCATAAGCTCACTGCCTAGAAATAAGCAGAGTGAAAATTTGGAACAACTTTTTCAAGTTTTTCGCTATGCAAAAATATGTATTTGTAGGTAGGTGAGCTCATATTATATGTTTAATTCCCCACCATGTTCCCCTCCCCCCACTTTATGTCAGGAACATTTCATATATTATTACAAATTCATTTAACATTGGATTTAAAGATGTTAAATATTAGCATCACATTCAATGGCTATATAGTATAACATTATATGGATTCACCATAATTTATTTAACCAATCCCTTACTGTACATATTTAATTGATTCCAATTTCTTGCTATCATAAATAATACTATGATGAACATTCTTGGGAAGATATCCTTACCTGAGTTTCTGATAATTTCCTTAGTAGGATGAAATTTGAGAGTAAAATTACTCTCAAAAGGGAGGAATATAGCTATAGGATAAAGAATGCTTTCTTAAAGCACTTGAAAAATGGCAAACCCAACAGGAAATGGATGCTCATTAAAAAAAAAAAAACAACCTTCAGGGGCACCTGGGTGGCTCAGTAGGTTGAACATCTGACTTTTGATTTCCACTCAGGTCATGATCTCATGACCTCTGGAGCCCTGCGTCAGGTTCTGTGCTGAGCGTGGAGCCTGCTTAAGACTGACTCACTCTCTCTCTCTCTCTCTCTCTCTCTCTCCTTCTGCCCCTCCTCTGCTCATGTGTGCTTGCTTGCGCTCTCAAACTCTGCAGTCGACTGTGTTTAATATCACACATCTTTATTCTGTCACCTGTGTGGCAACTTCTTTGAAATCAATGCAAACACTACCCACCTAAGCAGGCTGCAGCCCCAACCATCGCATAAAGTCCAGGGGTGATACAATCTGCTCCTTGACTACACCAGCTATTAAAGATGGCCCAGTCATGGTGGTAATAAGCCAGCTGCTCCATTCCTACTCCTAAAAGTCGGCCTGCTATAGCACCAACAGCCATGCTGGGGATAAACAGGCCAGATGGGATCTGCAAAGAGAAAGCAACAGATGGTTAGTGAGAAATGATGCGCTTGCCTGGCATGTGGTAAGGGCTAGAGGACTGACCCTCTGCGAAGCAAACAGGCCAATGACAATTTAACTATGCACTATGCTAGCAAGTGGCCATAAATATTTGTGTAATGCTACAGGGGCTAGAGGTTCTCTGGGACGCGCAGGCAAGTACGACTGCAAAGAAGCTTACCCTGATTCGGGGTCCATCAGGCAAGAGCCTGAACTCTCCAGACCAACACAGAACTGGAGGCAGAAATTAAGCCTTTCCCAAAGAAAAAGGAAAATAGATGGAGTTTCTCATATATGCAGACATTTTCCCCCAATGCTGAATTCTTATAAACAACAATTACCCTCTATTGACTATCTTCCATGCTCTATGCTGGATACTCCACTAACAAGATTTCCTCAGTTCTTTATAACCACCCCAGGAATAGGCGTTATTATTCCCAAATCACACAGAACTTAAGATTCAGAGAGGTTAAGTAATTCACCCAAGCTCAAGATACAGTAAATACTGGTGCTGGGGTTTAAATGCAATGCTTAAAACCACTCTCATATATTGAATCTTAACCCATTGCTCACATGAAAAGGATGGTACATGAGGTTTCATTTTATTTTGTAACAGTATAAAGACAAAATGATTACATTTAAAAAATGAGGTAGTAACTATGGATTGCATGACTATCCAAAAAACAAAACAAAACAAAACAAAACCAACAATGACAAAAAAACCCTCTCATCTGTCTCCTGCTCTATTTCTTGACTCCTAGGATACTACAGTGAAATCTCAATTTACTGTGTTAGGGGAAGGAAGTTATGACAAGGGCAAAATCATTGAAATAGCAGATTATTTTTAAATAACTTGTGTTCAATTTTGGGATGCATTTGAATCTGGGTGGGTTTGATGGTCTGACCGTTCACTTTAAAAGAAGGAAGCCGTGAGGAAAAAACAAACAAACAACAAACAAACAAACAAACAAACAACTCAAGAAGCACAGCAAGACTTTCCAGGGTGTTAGGAAGATGCATGACAATTCAGAGGTTTCTAGCACTGCCTAAACTGAGCGCTTGTCTCTCATTGTCTGGTTTGAATAGAGGGGAATAACTCAGTAGTTGGGTGCTAAAGGAAAGACAAATAATCTAGGAAGGAGGAGGAAAATACCTTAACAAATGTTCCTTTCTGGTTTCTTCTGAAATACAGAAATGATAACAGGTACTGAAAATAAAAGATGCTGGCCTGATGTCTGCTGTTGAGAGTTTCAATATTAACTTGGGATCACCTGTGAAGTTCTCAATACACGGATACTGATAATGACTGTAAAGAATACATTTAGCTATAGATCAGGTTGAACTTGATGAGATTGCTCTTTTAGTGGTCAAAATGGTTGAGTACTGGCTACTTCATTTGGTTCAACTTAATATTTTGCTTTATTGGCAAACTCTAAAGCCACCCTATAAGGACCAAAAACATGTTGGGCAGATATTGTTTTAATACAAAATGCACGTGAATAAATACCTCACCATCCTTTCTGAAGGCAAAATATGTGCTCCACGGAAAAGGAGAAAACATTTCTACTTACATCTCATCATTGAGGTGTGCATTTGGCCTAAAACTAGGCTTAGATAATTTTCGATAGAAGTTCAATTCTCTAGGAAGTTAGGAGGACATGTGGGGGCAAAAAGGGCTTTTGAGGGTGGGGGATAATGTTGTGTGGGGTTGGAAGTGCCACAGGAGCTTTGAAGATTTTATATCTTGGCTTTACCCCTCAAACCCATAGCCACACATATATCCACTGAACATCAAAAGAATCTCCTCACCTTCATGCCAAAGGTGAATATAGTGATGACAATTTTCAGTATGAGTGTCAAGGCCAGCTGCCACATGGCACTGTAGACTCCCACACCAGCCGGTCTGTCGGGCAGTTCACCCCCCTTGCTTGTGTTGAAACGGTTCTCATAGTCACAAAGCTTGGAGGAATCCAGAAGGCCACAGTCATTAAACAGCTCAGAAATGAGCTCACTTGTGCTCATGCGGGTGTATTCATTGGGGAAAGCCAGGATAGCAGTGATGGCTGTCACAACAAGTACCTCTATGACAGGATACTTGCCCAACTGAGTGGTCTTACGCTTCCGACACCAGGCGATGTTGGTGCGGATAAACAAAGCACCCCACAGACCACCAAATATACCCAGCAGAATGAACGGCACAAGCTCAAAGAGATGCCATGGGGTGTGAAACTCCACATAAAACAGAACCAGTCGGCTGTTTCCAAATGGATTGATGGAACGTAGAGTAAATGCTGCCACCAAGGCAGCAAAGAATGAACGCCACAACGTTTTGAGGGGGAAATAGTAGCTGACCTGTAAGAAAGAATGTGGGAAAGCAAACTTAGAGCAGTATGCAGACACAGTTCCAGGTGAAAAGCTGGTGCTGCAGGAATGAGAGCTCAGGACAAAAAAACTGCCCAGAGATCTCTGGTCATGTGGTAAAACACGGAGTTGAGCAGAGAGCTTTGGGACTGCACCATATATACACACTGGCCAGAATTCCTGACCCAAAAGCAACATGCATGTTCTACAGACAGTTAAAAGTAGTTACCTCTTCTAGGCTGAATAACACTCCACCGATCGGTGCCCCAAAGGCTACGGATACACCAGCTGCTGCTGCAGCCGACAAGACCTACAATCCAAAACTCAAAATTAGTGACAGAAATAATGCCACCTTTCTTTTGTCAATCACATGTTTAAAAGGAACGTTAGTGGTTGACATTTCTTTTAAAACTTTACATGCTCTGTAACCAGTTTATCAAAGACAAAATTCAATTTATATTTATTTGAGAGCAAACACTGCATGTTAAATTTTGAACACAGTTCAAATGCTTGAACAGGCAAAGGGTCTTTCCTCTGTAATTAATTCAGGCATCTACTTTATTCCACATCATGCCCCCCAGCCCCAATACTCTCCATTCACTAATGAAATTGAGTTTGTAGACCTAGGAACCATCTAAATGAAGAATTTTCAGTGATGTATTTATACAGCACTCTCTGTTAAGGAATGCCTTTTAAATGAGAGTTTAGAGAAGGCTGTGATGATACAAAACTGAAATAACAATTGGCTCACATCTATTCAGGAGCTGCAAATATTCATACAATGGGTAGTTGGGGTTTCCTGTACTATGTGCCCTACTCCATACATAGTGACCTGTGGAAAAAGAAATAGGGAGGCAACTAGAAGCAACTAGAAGCAAGGAGATAGATTTTGAAGGGAAGAGAAGACCTAAGGGTGTTTCAGTGTGGCAATGAAAAGGGCTACGTGGAAGAGGAAGAGGAAGGGGGAGAAGCTATCGGGGGAAATAAAAAGGGACAAGGAGACAGAGAAAGAGAGCAAGTATTATACTTAGCCCTACCTTTGTAGGCAGGCATATGCATGTGCATGTAAAATATGCATGAAAAACACACCAAATTAATGGGAAGAAAAGGTCCTTTCATTAGATTCTGGTTGCTGTGGAGTGAGAAGTGATTTGTACTCGTAAGGAAAATTTTTAAAAGAAAGTTTAAGGGCGCTTGGGTGGCTCCATCAGTTAAGCGTGTGACTCTTGATTTTGGCTCAGGTCATGATTTCACGGATCTTGAGATCGAGCCCCACATCAGGCTCTGTGTGCTGACTGTGTGGGGCCTGCTTGGGATCCTCTCTCTCTCTCCCTCTCTCTGCCCCTCCCCACTCATGCATGCGTGCTCTCTCTCAAAATAAATAAACATTAAAAAATAAAGATGATTAAAAATAAGAGTTTTTGAAGAATAAAATGGTTCTTGGCAAAATAAATAGGCAGGTTTCTCTGGGCAGGATGGTGCAGGGCAGGAAAATGAAGGGGAGGAAGGCGTGAGATCTCCAGGGCTAACTTGGGAAGACTTCGAAATCCATAGCTATATATTGGCTTTGATTGAAAGCATTTCAGTGACTGTTTGGGATGAATTATGAGAAAAAGTAAAGAATCATGGTGGCTAGTTTGCTTTAATTTTTTTTTGTTGACCGAGTGGAGTCTGTCCATGCCCTTCCTTCTCAAATCCCTATTCTACCCTCAAGCATCTGCCCACTTTGACAAGGCCCCAGGACACAAAAGGGTGGCTGCCGATGGTGAGAACAACAGGAAGAAATAACTGGAAAGTCTAAAATAAACAATAGGAAGTGAGCTCAAGATGCAAATATTCCTGAGTCTAGTTAGAGGAATAAATGACATCTGTACAGAGAAATAGCCCAAACTCCCTCTCATAAGGAACTACTCCCCTTCTATAAGGAACTACTTGAACAGAAATGCCAATTTTATGGAATGAAAGTAACTGGCAATCTGTAGTTTCAAAGTCACCCCTGCCCAGGCAAAACCAGCAGCAATCAACACTTTACTCTTGCCAGTTAAAATGTTTTTTTTCCATTTCTTTAGCTTCTGTTGTGCATTATTACCATCCAACAAACTCAGCAATTGAATACTGCCTTTATGCCCTTCTACCATTTGACAGGTAGCTAAACAAGTTACTCAGATCTCCCTCTCCCTCTCTCTCTCCTGCTCACCTTCTTCTCCTGCCAAGAACTTTCCCCCTTGAACTATCAAAATGTATTCCATAATTGAAGTTTCAACATCTTTGGGCTTCCTTCTGGGCCTTATGGTTTATTTTGTTTTGTTTGGTTTTCAGAATAAATCACTAGGTTCCCATTTTGTGAAAAATCCTTTCTAATGAGATGACCTTGGCCATGACCCATTTCATATGTGATTTCTTTGTAATTCAAGGAAAATAGAGCAAGAACCATTATTTTCTTAAATCCTTCATTATATCAGGATTAAAGTAACCAATGACTTGGAACATTTTTAAAAACTGCTCTTCCTCTTCAAAATGATATACGTTAGCAACTGCATAAACATGAGAACCACTACAGAGATGTTGTGGCAGGACTACTCTGGTGGGATTGAGGCAGAAGGCAGAGAGAGTTCCAATACATAGAGAAACTCATTCAGTGTGGCAGTAGGTAGAAATAAAAGATGAAAAAGCTGGCATCTGAAACACAGGCTGAGTTCATATTCGTTCACAGGAATAAACGACTGCTTCTAAAAATCTACTACTATTTTTGTAACTTATTTTGTAATAGAAACAACACATACTTGTATAGTTATATATAGTAAAAGTTATTATAGTTAAAGTCCTTCACTACCACCTCACTTCCCCACTCACTGCAGGTAGACATTTTTAATAGTTTGTAGTAAAACCACTTCCCAGACATTTTCTTTCTAGGTGCACATTTACATAATTTAAAAAAAACCATTAATTGAATTATTATTTGTATGCATTGTTCCAAAACTGGCTTTTGAAAATGAATGATATTTTATAGCCATCATTCCATGTCAATGTACATAAGGCTCTCTTTTTTTAACGATTGCATAATATGCTACAGCATGGACAGAATACTGTTTATTCAAATTAGTCCCATTGGTGGACATTGCGATGGTTTCATTTTCTCATGATATTGACAAATGCTGCACATGAACTATTCCCAAATGCATACCTTTGTGCACACACACACGCGCTAGGATGTCTGTAGGTTAAATTCCTACAGGTAGAGCTGCTGGGTCAAAGGGTGTCTGTGTTGACATTGGGAGAATCCCCAAATTCTCATCCCTAAGACTGTTCCATTTTTTTTTTTTAATTTTTTTTTTCAACGTTTATTTATTTTTGGGACAGAGAGAGACAGAGCATGAACGGGGGAGGGGCAGAGAGAGAGGGAGACACAGAATCGGAAACAGGCTCCAGGCTCTGAGCCATCAGCCCAGAGCCCGACGCGGGGCTCGAACTCACGGACTGTGAGATCGTGACCTGGCTGAAGTCGGACGCTTAACCGACTGCGCCACCCAGGCGCCCCAAGACTGTTCCATTTATGCTCTCACCAACAAAGAAAATACTTGGGCCACCTGTTCTTACCTCTCTGCGCTTGGCCTCATTCTTCCTGTATTTGTTGAAGCAGTGGCACAGGATGTTCCCACAGCAGCAAGCCACGTGCACTAGGGGGCCCTCTTTGCCCAGGCTCAAGCCTGATGACACGGCCAGCACCAACGTGATGGTTTTGATAATCAGGGTCCACTTACCCAAATAGCCCCTAATAATAAAACCGCTCAAGATAGTTTTTATCTGCAGGCCAAAAACAGAGAGACTGAATATAGGCTAAGCAAGTAAGCAAGGCTGGGAAGCAACAATCCGGACCTCATTATAGAAACTGCACCTTTTGAACGAATGACCTATAAATGTTTGACCTACAGTGACCCCAATTTGGGAGGAAGCCTGGAAGCCCAGGAAAGCAAGAACTGTTCTTTAAGATTTCATGTTCCTTATATTTTGGGGGGCCATGTGTTAGCTGGGCAAGGGGGTACAAGCATGGGAGTCTGTGTATATGGAGAAGAGGGGCAGGGAGGGGCGTGTTTTCCTTACTTATATCCTTACAGGCTAGTATAGCCTTGATTCTCTGCGAAAGAAATTTATAACTATGACTTGGTCAGGAAACAGAGAGGGGTAAGGTCATCTGGGCAACCTCAAATCTCAGTGGTTTCAGTCACTGTCAAGCAATCTAAACCCAAAGTAGCTAGAAACAGGATTTCAACTACCCTCCTAGCCTGAATCATATTGTAGGAAATGTAGCAAAATAGCTTTGTTTCTTCAACTCTAACAAAGTTGACAATACCACTACTTTTTCTGGCCAGGATCTTGGGACCCTGGGAGCTTCTTGGGTAGGGAGTGGGGGTTGGTCTTCAAGGGGCCTAATTCACCAGGAACCCCCAGGGGGGCTAGGAATCAACTCCCTTTAGTTTCCAGGTAGCCCAGACTGAGAGAAGACTTGAGGAAAGACCTAGAGAGACTCTAGATTTCCTCAGAGTCTGATCCTGTTTTATATTCAAATTGTGGTATATGCTGGAATACATACTAAAGGCTTTTAACCAGGAAGGAATCGTTATTGTCACCATTTATAAACCACTTGAGAGACTTACCTCAGGAATTCCAGAGCCACAGGCATAAGGCGCAAATACCTTGACAAGAGACACGGCAAGGAAGGCAAATAGGAGAGCCCAGAGGACGTACATGAAATAATTGACTATGTAAGCAAAGGCTCCCTGGAACAAGGGAAAAGAAAGAAGCTTGTTTTAGTGAGGCACGCCGCCCTTCTGAGTAATCAGTTTTCAGGAAAGGAGATCAGAAAGAAAAAGACCAGTATTAAATCGCTCAAGATGTTCCTTCCAGAATTGTCAGAAAGGCAATACTGAAATAGTGTCAGCCCACTTGGTACTGAAAAAGAGAGGATTTGCTACACCCAAAGGAAACCAATACCAGCTTCTAAGGATGGACAAAAACGAAGAATGAACAAAAACCTGAAGCAAACTCCTGTTCCTTATGAACACTTCGATAGGTTTTGTAGTCAAATATATATGATTTTATGCCAATTTTATTAAGAGTCTTGAAAGCTCTTTTACTGGAATGGCTGAACTTTGGCTACACATTTGAGGTGAAGACCAGCTGGCTACCTACATTGGTGTCAAATTCTCATAGGAGGTTAGAGTGTTGAAAATTCCTGAGTGTTTTTTCTTTAAATACACAGTTCAGTTCTATAGAGAATCACCACATCTTTGCAAGAGTTTTGCTATCACAGACTCAGCAACAAGAATATGCAAGTAGAAAGTTTCAGGCTCTGACCATAAAACGAAACCAGTGAGACACCAGCTGTCCCAAAGAATAAAACAGCAACAGCTATTTCTAAAATGGAGAGAATATACTTTTGAGACTATCCTCCTATGATAATGAAGACGGCCAGAAAATAAATATAATTTTGACCACGAATAAGGAGTCACCAACATAAAGGGCTTACAAACAGTTACATCTTACAAAGAAAGCTATTTTGAACATTAGGAGAGAATGCTTACTGATAAAAATATTAGAAGTTCAAACTCGCTCAAAGTATATGAAACACAACTCACTGGACTTCTGATTTAAACATAAAATGTAATTAAAATAATTCACTGACCTAGAGAAGGAGAGCCAAACTGCTCAGATTTTTTTTCTGAGTTATAGCTTTGACACAACTTTTCCATTAGTTTAGTCCCTCAGAGGAATAGATAATTGCTCTCTCTTGGCCTTTCAAATGAAGCTAGGGAGGAAGAAGGCTCCAGAGGGGGGAAACAGAGAGAGAGAGGGAATGGAAAGGCAAGTAGCTGAAACTGACTAGAGGCAGAGACCTGGAGGCCAAGTTCTTGGCAGGAGAACTCAGAATCTAGAAGACTCTCTCCAGGCAAGGATTTCATTCATTAAAAAAAAAAAAAAAAAAAAAAAAAAACAGCCAGAGAAATCTGTCATTTGAGCAAATCTCAAGCTCCAGTTTGAACGCTACAGTTGGAACACTTAAACACATGTGCAAGGCTATAACAGGGTAGCACAGGGGAGCCTTGTGGTAATGGAACAATAGTTCTATGTCTTGATTGTCGTGGTGATAACAAAAACCTACACATGTGGTAACACTGCAGAGAACTACACACACACACACACACACACACACACACACACACACCTATGTGTGTAAAACTGGTGAAATAAAGTCTATGGATCATATCCTTGTTTCACCACTGATCAAAAAAATGCAAGGAATCACACACACACACACACACACACACACACACACACTCACTC